GCACCCGGGCACCCGGGCGTGCAGCGAAAATCGGCGACATACCTCACCTAACCATACGAATCCGCTAGGACCCCGACAGAGGCAAGCTCTGATTGGGGAACAAGCGAACTGCCTGAGACATCCCCACGAACCGGCCGCGAACGGGCCCGTGTCATACCCCTTGGCGGCTCCCCTTAGGGGTGCTGAAACCAGCGCCCCGCTTGAGACATCCTCCAAGTCTGCTCTGACAGCAAAGGATGTTGAGCCACAAAACAGGCAAACCGCCTGAGACATCCCCACAAAGTGGCCGCGAACGGGCCCATGAAAACACCCCCGGCGGTTTCTTTTAGGGGTGTTGAGACCAGCGCTCCGCCTGACACTTCCACAAATTATGATAAGCGCGGACGATATTGAGCACGGAAACAGACAAACCGCTTGAGACATCCCCACAAATTGGCCGCGAACGGGCCCGTGAAAATACCCCCTGGCGGCTCCCCTTAAGGGTGCTGAAACCAGCGCCCCGCCTGAGACATCCTCACAATCTGGTCTTTACGCAGACGATGTTGGCCACCGAAAAAGGCAAACCGCCGGAGACATCCCCACAAACTAGCCGCGAACGGGCCCGTGCAAAACCCCTTGGCGGCTCCCCTTAAGGGTGCTGAAACCAGCGCCGCGCCTGTGACATCGTCCCAATATGGTCTGTACGCAGTTGATGTTGGCCGCCGAAGCAGGCAAATCGCTTGAGACATCCCCACAAAGTGGCCGCGAACGAGCCCATGCAATACCCCCGGCGGTTACTTTTAGGGGTGCTGAAACCAGCGCCCCGCCTCTGACATCTTCACAAACTGCTGTCAACACAAAAGATGTCGGGCACCGCAACAGCCAAACCGCTTGAGAGGCCGTGCAATACCCTTCTGGCGGCTCCCCTTAGGGGTGCTGAAACCAACACCCCACCTAAGACATCTTCCGAATTAGGAATTAATGGGTGCGACAGAGTTTTGGCATGAATCCGAAAGAGTATGATTGTGAGTGGGTCTGAATGTGAACAACTTTGAATAGTATGAGTGCAAAGGAATCCGAGTATAGACGAATCCAAGCAGGAGGAGACGAGAATAGGAGGAGGCCTGACTGAGGAGTCGGCGGCGTCAGAGCAACAACAAGAACCCAATCTTAGGATATGGGGAAAAAGGAGAGGAGGAGGAGAAGAGAATGAGAAAGGGGAGTAGGAAGTGTTTAAGTAAATACTCGCTGCGTAGAGCTCCCCATATGTGCATTTATCAGCATGGACTTGTCCGCCGTGAGCATCTAGGCGCAAGAGTTTCGAATATAAACGGGTTTGAGTAGTGATGGTCTAGGAGTGAATATAAGTGTGGGTGAGCTGGAGTGTGAATGAGTCGCATTAGCACGAGCGCGCCTCTGCGCATGAACCTGGGGCCTCCTGAAACCTCCTGGGGCATCTTGGGGCCTCCTGTAGCCTCTTGTGGCCTCCTGGGGCCGCTTGGGGCTTCCTGTGGCCTCCTGGGGACGCCTGGGGCCTCGTGTGGGAGGGCTCGGGCCCCAGGGGAGGCCCAATCTATATGAAGAGACGTACAGAAAACATTGCGGAGCGGAGCCGCAGGAGAAGGGCAATCTATAGGAACACACGTAAAACATCAAGGATTCGTGCACTTATGGGAGGCCCAATCTGTGTGAGCATGCGCAAAACACGTAGGAGTGGATACGTTGAAGAAGGACAGTCTATAGAAACATACGTAACACGCCAAGGTTTCGTGCTCCAGGTGAGGCCCAATCTATAGGAGCATACGCAAGCACATGGGGATTGGAGCCACTCCTGTGGCCTTCTGATGCCTCCTGCTCCTGGGGCCTCTTGGGGCCTCCTGGACCCTCTTGGGGCCTCCTGGGGCCTCCTGGAGCCTTCTGGGGCCTCCTATGGCTTCATATGGCATCCTGAAACCTCCTGGTACCTCCTGTGGTCGCCTGGAGCCTGCTGGAGCCTCCTGTGGCATCCTGAAGAGGATCCGTGCCCACGAGCCTGGCCAGCAAAATAAGCAAACCGCTCGAGACATCCTCGAACTCTGGCCCCCCTTGGGGGGCGAAAACGAACGCCTTGCTCGAGACATCCTCCAAATCTGTTCCGAAAGCGGAGAATGGTGCGTCTTGAAACAGGTAAGCCGTTCGAGGAATCCCCGCCTTTTTGGCGCGAACGGAGGAGTGGAATATCCCTGGCGGCTCCCCTTTGGGGGTGCTGAAACCCGCGCCTCGCTCCAGACATCCTCAGAATTTGCTCCGCCATCAGCATCATCATCATCATCATCATCATCATCATCATCAGCATCAGCATCAGCATCAGCATCATCATCATCATCATCATCATCATCATCAACCTCATCAGCATCAGCATCAGCATCAGCATCAGCATGATCATCATCATCATCAGCATCATCAGCAGCAGCATCATTAGCAACAGCATCATCTGCATCAGCATCAGCAGCGTCATCATCGGCATCAGTATCAGCATCATCGTCACCATCATCATAACCGCCACCACCATCATCATTTCATAACATGGCATCGCATAACGTAACAACGCGTGGCAAAACACATCATACAATCACATGTCATAACATATCATGGTATACCATGTCATGCCGTAGCATGCCATACCATAACATAACATACCATAAACCACACCATAGCATAGCATGTCACGGCATAACAGAATTCGAAATTATGATGATGATGAGGAGGAGGAGGGGGGAGGGAGGAGGTGGAGGTGAGGAGTCGGCGCGGTCGACAATAACAAGAACCCCATCTTTTGGATATAGGGAATAGCAAGAGACCCATCTTAGGATATGGGGACAGCCCATGCTTTGGACCTCCTCGGGCTCTCCAGGAGGACCTCTTGGAGACCTCTTGGGCCGTCTTGGGTGCTTCTTTATTTGTTTTGAGGCTGTATTGGGAGCCTTTTGAGCCGTGTAGGGCCATCTTGGCGTCATCTTGGTTGCCTTGAAAGCCGTCCTAGAGGCCATGAGGCGCCCAAGAAGGCCTCAAGACAAATCAAGAGGCCCCCGAGACGGCCCACGAGGTCTCCAAGAGGCCCTCCAGAACAGCCCGAGGAGGCCAAAACCATTGTTTTTTCCAGAAGGTATTGGAAGGATGGTGAGGTTCTGGCATGTTTGGATTTCCGACCGCCCAAGGCAGCTCAAGGAGCTTCTCTGGGCCGTTGTGTTGCTCTCTTGGAGCGCTTCAAGGCCGTTTGGGGGCCCTCTTTTTGAGCCTCTTGGGCGATCTTTGAGTCCTTTTGGGCCGATTTGAGGCATCTTGGGTTGTCTTTGAGCTATCTAGGAGAGGCCTCTTGGAAGCCTCTTGAGTCGTCTTGGGTGGTCGGAAACCCGAACAGGCGAGAACTACAGAATCTTGCCAGAGCTTTAGGCAAATCAACGGTTTCGGCCCCCTCGGAATACCTCTTGTAGCTCTCTCGGGCAGTCTTGGGGGCCTCCTGGGCCGTCTCGAGGCCTTCTTGGGATATCTTGAGCTGTCTTAAGGCTCTCTTGAGAGGCTCTTGAGCTGTCTCGGGCCATCTTGAGCCCGTTGTTGTCGTCCTGTGAATTTTGGAGCCATCTTGGAGGCCATCTTGGCCGTCTGGAGGCCAAAAAGACCGCCAGAAAGCAGTTTCAGAAGGGACGTTTTTTTAACACGCGTGCGGCGAGGGTGGGACCCCTGAAACCCCACAAGATCTTCCAGACAACAGACGAGCATTCTGACACGCCCACTCCGTGCAGGCACGGTGGCGGATTATCGTATGTGTCTGGTTTGCAGCGGTGGCGGAGCTCACAGAGAGTTGCGGGAGATCGATTGGAGTTATTGATTGCAGTCGTCGATCTCGTCTGGTGCCCCAGCGCCATCCCATTCCTACCCATCCCCTCCGCTACCTGCCCTTCCCCCTTCCCCCACCCTTCCGTCCGACGCGGTCCCTTCGCATCCGTTCTCCTCCCCGCAATCCTCTTCCTCCATTCTCCACCACCCTCCTTGCAGCCAGCCATCGATCGGCAGGAGGAGGCGGAGGAGGAAGAGGAGGAGGAGGAGGAGGAAAGGGAGGAGGAGGAGGAGGAGGAGGAGGAGGAGGAGGAGGAGGAGGGAGGAGGAGGAGGGAGGAGGGAGGAGGAGGAGGGAGGAGGAGGAGGAGGAGGCCTCCGCTCCATGCAGCCCCACCCTGCCTGCTCCTCCTCTGTGCACCATGGCTCAGAAGGTCCGGCAGCTGGCTCCGCTCCGCCGCCACCGGCGCGCGGAGTCCACCGCCCGCCCCAGGCATCCGACGCCCTGGCCCAGATCGGGGGCCGCCGGTCTGGCGCCGCAGTCCGGGTCTCTGGCCAAGCCGACACAAATCAGGAGGGAAAGAAGCACACAGGCACACTGAATCGTCGATTCCCCAGAGAATATGGGAACCTATGGGAGGTGGGGGGGGAAGACAAGAACCCAGAAAATATTTGAAAATATGGGGAATCGTTTTGTTTGTGTGTATCTATCTGTGTGTCCTGGGGCCCCTTCCATAAGTCACCCACAGCACAAAGTGCATGCGAATGTCTCGAAAACAGAGCGCCCTAAACACGACGACTTTCTCTGGGCTCCGCGCGGATGTCTTGGATCCGAGTTGTGCCCCCCCCCCCCTGGCCGCGCCTCTGGCGCCAGCCCTGGCGCCAGCCCTGGCGCCAGCCCTGGCGCGCTCCGCGCGCCAGGGAGGGGAGCCCATCGCCCATCCAAGGAATCCGCGCGCACCTCCGAGAGGGCATGTTTATGAAGTGTGTTGTTCCTCTGATGTTTGGGTCGAGACCTTTTGGAAACCCATGCATAGATAGATAGATAGATAGATAGATAGATAGATAGATAGATAGATAGATAGATAGATAGATATATAGATAGATAGATAGATAGATCGATAGATAGATAGATAGATAGGTAGATCTGAAGTGCAGGGCGACGAAGTCTGGGGCCAGCGGGGCCAGCCGGAATTGCTCCTGCAGGGTGCACGAGCATGCAGAAGGTCGGGTGCTTGGGCTGCATCGACGTGGTGAAGGGAGTGCCCGTCTGGGACCAGAGCAGGCCCCTCGCGTGCGGCACGGACAAGGACCAGAGGGGGAGCGGGGGGGGAGAGGGAGCCTCCCTTCCTCGTCTCGTCCTGCCCCTCCTTCTTCCCTCTACCCCCGTGCGATTGCTGCTCCTCCTCTCCCTGCCGCTCCCCTCTTGCTCCCCCGTCCCCCTCCTCCCCCATTTATGTTTCCTCCCCCGGTTGGAGGAGGCCAAATGGGGAGAGGGGAATGAAGCAGAGGAGAAAGGAGGAGGAGGAGGAGAAGAACGAGGAGGAGAAGGAAGGAGACAAGATTAGCAGTATGTAGTGCCGCATCACGCTGCAGCGGGAGCCCCTGAGGGCACCCGCGCAGGCAGAACGGTGCGGGCAGAAGTACATCGACGATCTGGACGATACAAACGCACGAGCGCGCGCGCACACACACAGACACACACACACACACACACACTCACACACACACACACACTCGCACACACACACACACACACACACACACACACACACACGCACACACGCACACACACACACAAACGCGCACACACACATACACACACAAAACAAACATTGACCCTGGCGCCGACTGTTCGGCGTGCGCACGTGCGCGCATGGCGTGTAATCCATGTTCGAACCAACCGTCGGCTCCTGCCCGTGCGGCTGCAGGCGATGCCCACACCGAGTCAGACGCACACGATACGATACGATACAGTACGAAAGCCGTGCATCCACGAATGACGAGAGGGCAGAGAGCGCGGTTGAAAAACTTGCCAGAATCGCATCCGGCGCGCCAAGTCAGGAGAAAGGGAGAGGGAGTCAAACACGCGCACACATATATAGATGTACGTACACACATTCCCTAAACAGTGCCTGCACTTAGGCTTTCTTACTTCTGTTATGAGGAACTGGGCCGTGTCTTCGGTCTGCCGGCTATGCGGCCGCCGTCGCCGTTTCGTCGCCGCCCGACATCTGGGCCAGTCTGTCGGTCTGGCGGCTATGTGGCCGCCGTCGCCGCCCCGTCACAGCCTCGTCGCCGCCCCTAGACTGTACAGCATGGCTTGCACCGCATAGCACTCAGATTGCACCGCAAAGATTGCACCACATCGATTGCACCACATAGTTTGCACAAAATGGACTGCACCATAAGGATTGTACCACTTAGGCTGCACCACATAGCTTGCACATCATATATTGAACCGCATAGACTGCACTGACCGGATTGCGCAACATATATTGCGCCACATAGGGTGCACGACGTATATTCTCTCTTCTAAAAGGAGAACAGACTCTACCCCCCCCCAGCGTTATCGGCCCCCCTTTCGGGTATGTAAATCATATATGACTCTGACCACATGTCCATCCTAAATACGAATTTACACTATCCCAGGGGAACCAGTATCGGCCCCCCTGAGGTTCCCTTCTAAAAAGCCATACGCGGGGACAGCTTTAGTTCTAACATAACACTTGTTCACGAATCCCTTGCAAAAAATGGGACGAAGTGCACACGCGCGCGTCGTCGCGCGCGCATGCCGAAATCCTCCAAAGACCTTCGGTGCCGGAAGGATTTCGCAATCGAGTTCCCAAAAAACATACAAAAACATTGGGTTTCGCAACACTGATTTGCTAAAAAAGCATACGCACGAGCTCTTGCGAAATCTTAAGAAAACCATGGGTGTTTTTTCAAGATTTTCACAAAATGCTACCAAACGGGCTTCGCGCGCGCGCACGTCGAAATCTGTCGAACGCCCTTGCGCGTGTGTCGTCGCGAGAATCCTCTGCAAAAAATTGGACGAAGTGCAGACGCGCGCGTCGTCGCGCGCGTATGCCGAAACCCTTAAAAACCCTTCGGTTTCGGAAGGATGTCAACATCGTGTGTCCAAAAAACCTACAAAAACACAAGGTTTCGCAACACGGATTTTCAACAAAAGCGTGCGCGCGCGCTTTTGCGTCGTCGTCGTCGTCGTCGCCGTCCTCCCTCCTCCCGCGTCGTCGTCGTCGTCGCCTACGTCGTCCTCTGTCTTTCCTCGTGTTCGTCGTCGTCGTCCTCTTTGGCGTCGTGGTCGTTTCCGTCGTCGTTGTCGCCGTGGTCGTCCTTCCTCCTCCTCCCTCGTCGTCGTCGTCGTCCGTCGTCGGCGTCTCGTCGTCGTCCCTTCTATTTCGTCGCCGTCGTCGTCGTCGTCGTCGTTGTCGTCGTCGTCGTTCCCTCCTCCCTCGTCGTTGTCGTCGTCGGCGTCGCCGTCCTTCCTCCTTCTTCGTCGTTCGCGTCGTCGCCGTCCTCCCTCCTCCCTCGTCGTTGTCGTCGTTGTCGTCGTTGTCGCCGTCGTCGTCCTCCCTCCTCCCTCGTCGTCGTCTTCGTTGGCGACGTCGTCGTCGTCTTCGTCGTCGGCGCCGTCGTCGTCGTCGTCTTCGTCGTCGTCGACGGCGTCGTCGTCGTCGCCGCCGTCGTCGTCGTCGTCGGCGTCGTTGACGTCGTCGTCGTCGTCGTCGGCGTCGTCATCGTCGTCGTTGTCATCGTCGTCGTCGTCGTCGTCGTCGGTCGTCGTCGGTCGTCGTCGTCGTCGTCGTTGTCGGCGTCGTCGGTCGTTGGAGACGTCGTCGGTCGTCGTGGTCGTTGTCGGCGGCGTCGTCGTCGTCGTTGTCGCTGTCGTCGTCGGCGTCGCTGTCGTTGCCAAGTGCCATTTGGTACCCACCGTCACGGTCTTAAGAGGTTTTGCAAACCAAGTTGCGGGTGGGTGGGTGGGATGTGTGCAGGAGCATGGGATGTGTCTTTTCATGAGTAAAAATCAATGGCACCACATAGGTTGCACCACACAGGTAGCACAATATAGATTGCGCCACATAGATTGCATTATTTCGATTGCACCGCACAGCTTGCATATGACATTGAAGCGCATGAGCTGCACAGCACATATTGCTCAGCGCATAGTGCCAGAAACACACTGTCTGGGGCCCACGCTGGCCAAAACACACACCGATGAACACACACACACACACACAAAGACATAGACATGTACATATATGTGATTATGTGCATGTGTATGTAGAGTTGTGTGTATGTATGTATGTTTGTATGTATGCACGTATGTATGTATGTGTATGTTTGTATGTATGGATGTGTGTGTGTGTCTGCATGCATGCATGCATGCATGTATGTATGTATGCATGTATGCATGTATGCATGTATGCATGTATATACGTATGCATGTATATACGTGTGTAAGTGTGTATGTGTGTATGTATGTATGTATGTATGTATGTATGTATGTATGTATGTATGTATGTATGTATGTATGTATGTGTGTATGTGTGTATGTGTGTATGTATGTATGAATGAATGTATGTATGTATGTGTGTACGTCTGTCTGTCTGTCTGTCTGTCTGTCTGTCCGTCCGTCCGTCCGTCCGTCCGTCTGTCTGTATGTATGTATGTATGTATGTATGTATGCACCTGTGTACAATATATGTGTGTATGTGTGGCGTCGCGGCCACGCGCGCAGCAGCGCAGCGTAGAGCAGGTCAAGCGAGAGGCGCACGCGGGGCTGGCCCCGGATCACGCGGCGTGGAGGCAGTGGATCCGCCCGTCGGGGGATCCGCACGGCACCGCCCGCTTTTGGGGGCAGTCGCGAGGGGGGCGATTCGATTCGATGTCGATGTCGACGGCTTCCGAGTCCGATTCGAGTTGACTTCGGATTCCGATTTGGGGTTCTGAGCTATCAGTGGAGGCTTTTACTAGCCTGCCGAGTTCCACCGGTTCGACTTCTCCCGACTCGGCTGCCGATTTCCGCCGCTCCGATTCATTACGATTGCCGATCCGATGTATCGATTCGATTCTGGGCTCTCCTGCAGGAGGGGGGGACGCGAGGGGAGCAAGGCGGCAGCGCGTGAGAGGCAGGGCAAGGCGCAGCGGGCAGGCGGCAAGGGCAGCCGAGATCCGCACGAGGAGCAAAAGGCCGCGGGCGGGAAGCTACGGGCCAGCCGGGGAGGCCCCCGGGGGGGAAACGATGAGGAACCGGGATAACCCCAGCGAGAAGGGGTGAGGCGACAGTGTCGCTATTCCTCCTCCTCCTCCTCCTCCTCCTCCTCCTCCTCCTCCTCCTCCTCCTCCTCCTCCTCACGCAGCCTGCCTGGTGTGCGCACCGCGTCGAGCACCTGTTTGTTCGTGAGGCGTTGCGCCGTGCCTGGGATGCTCTGCGCTTGGGCGACGGGCCCGCCCGGCACTGCTCCGGCAGCCCCTCCTCTCCCGCCGGGGCTCTTCATCCTCGGCCCGCCCGGGCGCACCGCGCGGTCGTGAGGCCCCCTCGCTCCGGACAGCGGGCGCCCCCAGTCTCTCTTTCCGCAGACCGCGGCGAAGGAGAAGAGGCCCTCCTCCCTCCTCCCTCCTGCCTCCTCCCTCCTCCCTCCTCCCTCCTCCCTCCCTCCCTCCTCCCTCCTCCCTCCTCCCTCCTCCCACCTCCCTCCTCCCTCCTCCCACCAAGTTGCTCCACTCGCAGAAGCGCCGCATAAGCATAAGCATAAGCATGCATGCGGGGGTGGCATTGGTGTAGGAATGCGCCCAGGAGGCTGCAGACCCTGGAGGGTTCCTTATTTGATGAGGTCGGCAGTGATATCCATGGCCAGTCCACGACTGGTGTTCCACCAGCTTCCAGTGACCGTGGATTCCTTATCCAGTGGTTCCTTACCGGGGGAGGGGGGTGCCAGCGCCGATCCGAGAAAGCCGCGTGGACCTCCGATAATTTAGGCTTGTGTCGTCGGCGTTTCGGCTTTCGGCGGAAGGGGGGGGGAGGGGGGGTCTGGCTCCAGACCTCTGCTTAGTGCCACTGTTTGCAGTAAGGCATCCGTTATGGGGGAGGGTCCACCTGCTCGAAACGGGCGCCAAACACAGCCAAGATCTACTTCATGGGGGAGGGGGGAGGGGGGGGTGCGACAGCCCTTGCCGATGGGCAAAACAACGAATCAAAAAGCGACCAGAGGAGAGGTACCAAGTTGTGACGGACCCTCTGTGAGGGATCACAGCTGTTGCCCAGCCCGGCCAGGCACGAGGCATGCCACGGCGCGGGCGGGCTCGTTCTGGTCAGTCTTAAGCTTCGCTGGAGTCGTCGTATCCGTCCTCCTCTGTTCCATTTGCCTGGGCCCTCTTCCTCATACGCGCCGTACAAAGCAAGATTGAACAACATTTGAGTGGAGTCGAAGGGAAACCCCTTCCCTTTGATCCCTTCCCCGCGCCGGGGGGAGGGGGGGGGCGGTCCTGGGGGAGCCCAGGGGGCTGCAGTTCCGTGGCCCACCTGGGCGGCGGAAGAAACCGGGGTCGTCCGCCAGGACATTGGCGCGCAAGTTGCCCGCGCAAGGTCGCGCGTAAGCGCCCGCGTTTACAGCGTGGCTCGCCACACTGGCGGCCGGCGTATGCGGTGGCGCAAGGCCGCTATGTCATCTTGCACAAGTCGGGTAGTGCCCCGGAGCCTTCAAACTGGCCAGAATCGCTAGAGCAGGTCTGCCGTGGCTGGTGTTTTCTCGGGTGACGGCAGTTCCAGTTGGTGGACCGGGGCCTGGGGGGCGACCCCCGGTACACATCACTAAACCAGGTCCCACTAAACCTAGTTGTGCCAACGCCCGAGTATCGACTAGACGTAAGAGTGACCTTTCGCCGGAGTGACCTTTGGTGCGGGCACAGGTGGGTCCCCAGATGGCTAAACACGAGGCAGCAGCAGCTGCTTGCGGGCCCACGTGTGGTCCCCCCGCGGCCCCCCCAAAAGTCGCGCACCAAAGGTCACTCTTACCCAGGGTCACTCCTGCGTGCAGCCGAGCGTAAGACCCGCTTCTTTTCGTCGCTCGTGTGTTTCCACATGTGGCGCGGAGCACGTCCCCGGGGCAGCACGGTGGGCACACGGGCTACGAGGTCGGCCCGCCAGCAGGTGCCCCGCGGAAGCTCCTCACACCCCGGTGGCCCCCAGGGGCCCTCGGAAGTTCTGGAGCACCTCGGGGCCCTCAAAGAGGTCGACGAATGATAGCAAGATTGAGGACCGTGTGTTGTGCGTGTGTCTACCATACAATGGGGGCGCGCATCAAGAAACCATCTGCTTTTCGTCAGGGTATCCTGGGTTTCTTCGTTCCTCGCGCTGCGCGGTGACTTCCCGCAGGCGTTGAATGAGCTGCTGCGTTCAGGGTGCTCCAGGTTTCCCCTCAGGTGCACCTCGCGCACGGGTTCTCAGGGTTGGGTATCTTGCGAGGGTTTCTTGCGGCCGCGCCCGCACTGTAGCGAAGCCCAGGTTCGGCGTGTGATCCCCGAGCGGATCTGTGCAGTTGATCACCCCCGCGCTTGGCAAGGGGGCCTGGCACTCGGCGCACGAACTAAGCCATCTCGAGCGCTCGGGTGGCTCTGGGTCCCACTAGGTACGCCCCCCGTGCCTCTCTTCACTCATCATACAAGGTCCCTTTCAAAAACATGCAACGGTGGTGATGAGAGGGGAACGGGGCGTGGATGCCGAGTCAGGGCGGAAGGAGGGTGGGAACGCGAGAGAGAACGGAAGAGAGGGAGTAGGACGAGGAAGATGAGGGGGAAAGGGAAGGGGGGCGACAGGGGGAAGAGGACGAGGAAGATGAGGGGGAAGGGGGAGCAGGAGGAGGAGGAGCTCTGGATTTTGATGTTGGTTAAGTGGGGGTGTAGACATGAGCCCCGCTTGCGCAGGATGTCTTCATCGGGAGAATGAGGACCGCGCGGGCCTGGCAGCTAAGAAAGCGCATTCTTACATTTCCCCATTTCCCTTCATTGTCCCCCTCCACGTTGTTCCTCATCCTCCTCCTCCTCCTCCGCCTCCTCCTCTTCCTCCTCCTCCTCCGGCGCCCACCTCATCCTCCTGCTCCTCGTCTTCCCTCCCCTTTCCTCCCCTATTCCCCTTCGTGCTCGTCCTCCTCCTCCCCCATCCCTCCTTCTCCCCTTGACTTCCTCCTCCTTCTTTGCCCCCATCATCAGCAGCAGCAGCAGCATCTTTCGTCGTCGTGATCCTTCCCCTCTTCCTCCCCCCTCCCACCGCCCACCACCATCCATCATTCGTTTCTCGTCCTCCCCTATTCGCCTCCCTCACCCTCTCCATCATCCTAATCCGTTCTCCCCATTCACCACCTGTTCCTCGATTCACCTGCTTTCGAGTTCTCAAGACAGATACTGGTCCCATCCCTCTCTCCCTCTCGCCCTCCCACACAACCACTTGTCGTCGTCCTCCCCATCCCCATCCTCTCTCACACCCCTCGACATCATCCCACCTACTCCTCATCCCTTCTCTCTCACACTCAATCGTCGACATCATTCCCCGACCTTCCCCTGTCATCATCAGCATCATCATCACCACCATCGTCGTCATCATCCTACTCATCTGCAGAAGCAGCATCCTCATCACCATCGTCATCAGCATCGTCATCGCCAGCGTCGTCTAAATGATGATTAACGTCATCATCATCATCATCATCAGCAGCATCAGCATCAGCATCAGCATCAGCATCAGCATCAACAATATCATCATATCATCAGCATCATCAGCATCAGCAGCATCATCATCAATATCATCATCATCGTCATCATCACCACCATCACCAGCATCGTCATCATCATGATCATCAGCTGCATCATCATCAGCAGCATCATAATTCCTATCATCATCCACATCATCATTAGCATCATCATCATCACCATCACCGATAGCCCCAGGGAAGACGATGTGTGCAGAGGTTAGGCGTGACATCGACTTCGGCAGAGCGACGCTGTACGCGGTGATGTAGAAGTTCACGAACAAGTTTCCGCTGGTCTACCGACAGTCAACCCGCATAGCAAGGATGAGCGGCGTTCCAAGGTTACCCTTGCATCCTTCCCCCTCGGCCCATCTTTGGCCGCTTTCGCTTGCCGCGCCCCGCTCGCAAAGTGCCGACACGGCCGTCCACGGACTTTGCATCGTTACCGTGCGTCCCAATTTATACGGGTTGATTGTAGGATCGCGAGTGCATGTTGTGGGCACGCGCATTGAGGGTCCGAGAGCGACCGTCATTCGACAACTACGGCGGCTGGAGTGGATTTCGTGGGCAGCCTCAAGAAGGCGGAGCTCACGGTGTCACGCAAGACGGCAGTGATCAACAAAGATTCAGGGGTGGCACAAGAGATCCCATTGAGGCTACACAGCAGGTAGATCAAGATCAAGGTCAAGAAGCAGGCGCCCATCTTGGGCGTCGACAGAGGAGGCACCGCTGGAGACAAGCAGAAGCACGCGAAGAGGGTCGCCCATGCGGATTGTCAAGTGGAGAGGTCGCTGAGGATGCTGAGGTGCGGCAGGCGTGCACGAGGAGGACTACGAGCAGTGGAGCACAGAGGAGTTCTATCGAGGGCGGCATTTTCCTGCAAACGTTACGGCATGGCGCCGACAGTAACAACGAAGTGGCGCACGAGGCTCGCGAGGGCCATCGCGCCAGGACTTCATGGACGGTGTCTCACCACACCCCTGCAGATGGCAATGGGCGCCAGCGGCCCGAGTACACCACAACCTCCGCGTTGCTGGACTCGTGGATGCATAATAGGAGCAGCGAAGGCCGAAGGAAGAAGGCGAATCTGTTATGGCCGAAAATATGTGAAGCCATCAAGATCAAGGGGGAAAGGGGGCGAGGGGGTAGAGAGGAGCTACGGGCATCCCAAGGGCGATGGAACGCAAGATTTTTGACTCGGGCTGGGAGCCGAATGGCCCTTGGCACCAGGTGACGGACGACGGCGAAATCTTCGGATGCGACGATCCGTCGGATATGGACGACCACGTGGACACCAGCGACCTGAAGCGGGTGACGACGGAGCCGACCAAAGGAAAGCAGCGGCAAGGAGCGGCGCAGCACTTCGCAGGCGGAGGACTCGAAGGAAGAGTGGACCTCAGATCGGCGAGGGCTTTGCTGAAGAAACTGAAGAAGAAAGGCAAGCACGAGCAGTACGGGGCAAAACTCGCGACCATGACGGAAGCAGCGTGGCCGAAGCAGCACATTGCGGGATCGGGATCGAGACTAGGTCGTGCCTAAGATCCGGGCTGGCTAGCGAGATTTGGGCGCGCAGAACTGTGGGAGTGCAAGTACATCGACGAGACGGGGGAAGCGTCAACCACGGCGAGCTGCACGCGCTGAAGGAGCTGCGCAGGAGGCGAAGGATTGTCCTATGATCAGGTACACAGCAGACTCGAGCTACGCGATGAGAAGCATGAACAAGCTTGAGGCTGGAAAGATGCCGAATTCACACGTGGGCAGGCAGGGCAAGAGGTTGGAGATCATCAAGGTAGAGAACCGCATGACGGCCGAGGAGGTTATCAAAGCAGGCGCAGGCCACTTCTATTTCATGGGCAACAGCTTCGCGGACGACCCCGTGAAAGGAAGTATCGAGGAGGTGCAGGTATCACGTCGGCTATCAGAGGGAGAGCGGCGGCAAGGTGCACAGCAGCAGTGTAGAGCCATCGCAGCCAGCGTCGAAGCCGAAGAGGGGTGAGCCAATGAACCAGGAGACCCGCATGCTCAAGCTAGCGAAGGACACGAATCGCAAGACGAAAGAGAAACGAGGTTCTACGTTTTCGAGATCTGCGGTTCGAGGGCGCCGAAGACCAAGAGCGCGAAGTGGTCCGAAGAGGATTGCGCGGCGACGGTGCAAACGGAGGCGCATGTGGCACCTCGGGGTCAGGGAGCGCAAGTGTGACATCGAGACAAGTATTGACGCTTCGCGTATCCCCACCAGTCTTGTCCGCTCCCTGTCCGCCGCCTCGGAGCCGCCAACCAAAAAAGTATCCCCACCAGCCCAGGTGCGTTCGTTTTAATGTGGAGCATTTTGCCTACTGCATGTGCACATTCACTTTCTTTGCGAATTATTACTGCAGGTGCGTTGCCTGTTGTAGCAATTCGCCTCGCCTGCTGGCCCAGACGACGCCTTCCGCTCCCTGTCCGCCGCCTCGGAGCCGCCGACCAAAAAAATATCCCCACCAGCCCATGCAGACACGACCGGAGGTTTTCTTGAGGCCCTATGGAGGCTACCTTGAGCCATGCTCGGCTAGAGGCTGACAGAGTCTATCTTGAGCCATGCTCAGCTATCTTGGGCCATCTTGTGGCTGACTCGAGGCCTCCTGAAGGTCTGCCGGCGGATGTATTGAACCAGGCTCGACTTCTTGGGATCATGTTGGTTGTAGGAGGAGCAAGAAGAAGGGGGGGAGGAGGAAGAGGAGGAGGAGGAGGAGGAGGAGGAGAGGAGAGGAGGAGGAGGAACACATATATACATATATATATATATATATATGTGAGAGAAGTGAGGAGAAGAGGAGGAGGAATAGGGCAGGAGAAGGACGAGGAGGCAGGAGGCAGGGAAAGAGGAGGGAAGGAGTTGGGTTTCACTGAAATGGTGTTGTGAAGGGTTCTCCATGGACAACTAAGGCCACCTCCGGGCCTCGCTTGGGGTCCCCGTGGGCCCTCTTGGGGCACCCTTGGAACCCTTTTGGGTTTTGCTTTGGGGGGGCAGCCATATCGGGGTTCATTGGAGGGGTCTGGTAGGCATCTTGGGCCCCATGGCTCAAAAAGAAACCCCATCTTGGGGCCCTCTTGGGCCGCTCTTGGAGCCCCTCTTGGGCCTCTCTTGGGCCCTTTTGGGTTTCAAGAGCCCATCGGAAGCGAAAAAGCGAAAAGACCAAAACCATGTGTATCCCGTAGGTTTGGGAGCCGTCCTCGGAGGGCACGGCGGGCATTGGAAACCGTTTTGGGGCCATCCTGAGGCGTCTTGGATGTGCGCATGAGGCTATCTTGAGCCATCTTGAGGTACACTGGCCCATCTTGGAAACCATGTTGGAATCGCAGAAGCCCTCCTGGAGCCATCTTGAACGAAAAAAACACTTTCTGGCACATCGTCCCCCCCCCCCCGGCCCAGGGGAAGGGGAGTGGGGAGGGGCAAACCCCTCTCTCCAGCAGCGGAAGGAGGGCTTCTAGCAGAGAAAAAGCACAAGTTTTATGAACCAACTACGCGGGAGTTATCCAGGCCACGCGCACAGGCACGACGCCACGCTGGAGGTCCACTACTGTGCATCGTGCGGGGCGTTCGGGCGAGAGCAGTTCAAGTCGTTCGCTAAGGATCGCAAACTTGGCGAAGACCGAACAGGGATACATACAGCCTGGAAGTTCGCACGCCGCGAAGGATTGGAAAGAGAAGACGAGGAAGAAGAGGAAGGGTTTCTGATCAGTTTTGCGCGCCGCTTCCATGCGGAACTGGTGCGAGAGAACTGGCCCCCAGTAGTGGGGCGTCGGAACCAATGGACAGTTGCAACAAAAACCCTCACCATGACCCCACCACAATCATCGAAGAGCTGGGCAAATCAAAAGGAGGACGACTTGGAGGGGGGGGAGGGAGGAAGGGAGGGAGGGAGCGAAGATAAACGGAGCTATGTACAACATGAAACAGGCGGATACCGGTTGGGCCTCACGGAAATTTGGTGATCTAACCAATCACGCTGGTCTGGAAAATCTGGTTCGAGTTGATATTTCGCCGCTTCACGCCATTTCTCCAACGTATACTGGCAACCTCCACCATGACCACCATGCTGAATTCCATGAGCACTGCCATCAACACGTCCTGCAAAAGCAGATGCACCTTCGGCAGGAACATTGGCCAACTGTTTGGCAATTTGCGCCCGCGGGCACTGGAAGGCAGCAGCACTCCACGGGTCCGTACTGCCTTCGCCGGGACACCGGCACGAGGAACGCCTCTACACGACCTTTTGGCGACCTCCATGGCCAGCATCATCATAATAGAGTTGATCATATCGTGAGAACGACAGAGGTGCCCCACTATGAGCCGGAGCCAGCCGAATCACAAAGGGAACGCGCGATTCGCCAGATGACAAGTTCGTACGAGCGTGGTCGACCACAAACGCCTCGTCGATGTCGTGCAGCACGAGTCGTGACAGATTGATGGCCCGTCAATTGCGAACGCGATCGACAAAGTGTGGGAAGAGGCATGTGTGTCTTGATCACGAATGCGGTCGCATGGATGCCTGGCGACGAACGAGGAGATGCTTGATACCACCAAGGCTGGTACGGTCAGGCGAAAAAGAGGGCGAGGCGGCAGCAGAAGCAGGCAGAGCTCACACGTGCGATGTGGTGGCCACGCCTCTAGCACATTTATCAGCCAAACATGTTGATCGCGATACGTGTGTCGCGTATGCGACGAAGCCTTCGTGCAGTGAAGCGTATGATCGTATTCATCGTCCTCATAATAATCACACTCCTCGTCATCATCGTCATCGTCATCATCGCAGGCTTCCAGGAGGCTTTCGGAGATGGCTCATGTGGCGCCGTTGTCGGTAACGATCCCAGGCTCCTTCGAGCACGCTGGGCAGTGGTGCAAGCAGTTTCGGATGGCACTCCCCTCGCCTCATCATGCGGAGTGCCTCTAGGCCCCCCACCAAAGCTCTGGCATTGCGGATTGCCCTGGTAAGGAATGTGGATTAGCCGTGCGGTGTTCTCACCCTCGGTTTTTCCGGATTGTGATTGGACTGTTTCAAGTTTTGCCCGAGGCCGCCTCGAAACCTCAGGAGCTCAGCGCGAGACAATTGATTTCTGGCGCCAGGCATTGGATCGGATGGCGGATGTGGAGTGTCTCAGCAGAGAAGGTCTAGCAGCATGGTGATGTGAAGCAGCCTGCTGGGGCCAACGGTCATGTGCCGATGGCCAGCCGTGTTCGATATCGGTGCTCGGTGTTCTCGAGTCGCCTGTGCTCACGGTGCGTCCGTTCCTGCTACGCGTTCCCTCTGGAGTTGGGTTGTGGGTACATTGTACGGAGTTTGGGCCTTTTTGATTTCTGTGCCAGCCGCGGGTCGGAGGCATCGCTCATTCGGTTTCGGCCACAACCGGGAAAGGAGAAGATGAAGAAAGAGAAAGAAAATAACAAAACAAAGCTCCAGGACCGGGGGGGCCGCGAGGACCCCTGACGCCACTACTGGCGGAGCCCAGCGCGAACTGGAGCTTGCGTCGGGGCGCGACGCGCTGGATCGGAAGCGGCAAGACGGCGTCAAGATCGCGATTGTTTCTTTGGGGCTCAGGAGGAGAAAAAACACACAGACACAATTAATCGTCGATCCCTTGGAAAATATGGGAAAATATGGGGAATCATTTTATTTGTGTGTATTTATTTGTGTGTCTTGGGGCCCCTTCAGGGGCTGACCAGCAGGCGCGAATGCCCACGGCGCTGAGCGAGGAGGGAGCACGGCCGCGGCGCCGCGCGGGGCGCGGCCGCGCGGCACGCCCCCGGCAGCGCCCGCGCGCCCCGCCCGACGCTGCACTTCCACGGGGTGCCCTTGGCATCGCTCGGACGTGTGCATTTTTCCGTCGGCGAGGACCATCGAGGAGCATCCCTGATGATCTGGCGAAAAAACCACGCACGAAACCGAAAAAAGCACAGGGAATGGACGTCCGAGCGATGGCCAGTGCCCGTTCGCAGCGTGGTTGCTTCAGGAATTGGCGGTACACCGCGCTCTCGGCGCACGGCTCTCGCGAAGTTTTGCGGGGCACCGGTGGCCGCGCCAAGGGCCAGCTGGTCTGCGGCGGCAGGACGGGTGGCACGCCGGCGCTCGGCGTCTGCGCCACCGCACCGCCCGCCGTCGCCGTCGCCGACGGCCTGCGGGGCGCCGTCGGCATCGCCGCCGGGACTAGAAGGCGGCTTCGCTGCTAGCTACGAGACTAGTTTTTCGGTCGGTGGCCACTTGGATTCAAGTCAGCGGAGGAAAAACCACCCAGACCGGACAAATGGCGTTTACTAAACGGCCTTGGGCGTTTACTAAACAGCCTTGCCATGTTTGATTTCTTCTTTGGGGGCGTTTACTAAACGGTTTCGCGTGCGGGGGTGGTTATTATCGGGGTGGATTTTCTGCCCTCTATCAAGCAGCGATAGGGGAGCGGTGGGTCACAACGAAGCAAATCAAGGCGCGGACATGAGAGGGGAAGAACGAAGGGACGAAAGGCACAGAAAGGGAAAAAGGCAGCGCGCGGCGGAAGGGCCCTCAGAGCACGAAGTTCTTCGGGATGCGCCGGGTGGTAGGTCGTACTCGAGGGATTATGTGAGCGAGTCGGTGTCTGAGCAAGTCTGAATGTCTGAATGTGAATGAGACTGAGCATGAGTGACCTGAGTGCGATGAGAGGAAGAAGGAGGAGGCAGTGAGGACGCGAAGACGTCCCAGTAATAACAAGAGCCCCATACTCAGGATATGGGGAAAACGATACGCTCAAGACCAGGCACATGGTTGATCGGGTGGTTCCAATTGGAGTTCCCAGTGGTTCGCGATGTGCTTATTTTCCAAATGGGGGGTAATGTTAACATCGTTAAATCCCACGTGCACTTGACATCCATGCTTCGCCGTCATCGTGAGAACGCAGCAGGGAGCCCGTGAGTACACCAATTGATCGAGGAATTGCGGTGATGATGGAGACGCGGATGGACCAGGCGGAGGCATAGTGATGATGACAGATTGTTCTGGAGACGGTGATTGAGGTGATAACAGTGGTGGTCTTGGTGGACGATGTTGAGCATATGTTACCCACTGGAAGTTTGAAAATTAACGCATGAAGTTCCCCACGCACTGATTACACTTGGGGCCTCTTACTTCTCTTCTTAAGGAACTGGGCTGATGTGTCCGTCTGGCGGCTATGTTGCCGCCCCGTCGCCGCCCGTTGTCTGGACCTGTGCATCGTTCTGGCGGCTATGTTGCCGCCCCGTCGCCGCCCCGTCGCCGCTTCGTCGCCGCCCATCGTCTGGGCCGGTGTGCCGCTCTGGCGGCTAGGTTGCCGACGTCGCCGCCTCGTCACCGCCCGCCATCTGAACCTGTGTATCGTTCTGGCAGCTGTGTTGCCGCTGTCGCCGCCCCATCGCCGCCCTGTCGCCGCCCCGTCGCCGCCCCGTCGCCGCCTCGTCGCCGCCCGTCGTCTGGGCTGGTGTGCCGCTCTGGCGGCTATGTTGCCGCCGTCGCCGCCTCGTCGCCGCCCGTCGTCTGGGCCTTGATGTGTATTGCGGTGCATTGCACGCATGGCTTTGCATTGCTGCGCTTACATTGTTGTGCCTTGCAAGGCACACAAAATATTTAGCATTTCGCAGTATGCACAGCATAAACTTCACAGTATAAGTTGTACCACATAGATGGCACCACATTGGTTGCTTCACATAGATTGCACCACACATATTGCTCCACATAGGTAGCACCGCACATATCGCTAGAAACAATGTTTGGGGTCGACGCTGGCTAGCATTCTTGTGAAGTAAGAATTGTTGTGGGACGCTTGCGTCCAATCTCAGAGTGTCATTGGCGAGGACCGCTTGAGCAGGGGGTCGTTTACCAATGGGAGCTATTCGGTAGGCCAGAGGTGTTATTTTCTTCGCTCTATCGACACTGAGCAAGCCATCCTTAGGCCAGGGGATGGGCAGCTGGGAGCCCCCCATTCCGCCAGGACACAGCGCGTCGCGGTCTGCGTCGCGAGGACGCGCGGCGTCAAGCGCTTGGCAGTGGAGATCCAGATGCTGAAGCACGTCGGGACCCCTGAGTTTCAAGCACGGCTTGCTCAGACGCGTCCTGTGCTCACCCTTCCCAAGCCCCTTTTTCTCTTTCGTTCTCATTCACCTTATCGTTGGTCCAATCCCACGGCCAAGGCTCTGTGAAGGCATGGGGCCACTCCCCTGGCCAGGGCTCTCTCAGCCGAATTCGGATTGCCCATGGGCGAATTCGGCCAAGTAAAGCACGTATGGATTGGAAGTGTCGAGAGTGTAAACCAATGGTTGGCACGAACATCGTACCAGAATTTTCTGCGCTGGAACTCGCCTCAATTGGTACTCTCCATAGCTGAAGAAGCGCGGCGCGGTTGAAAATAATATTGTGTTGAACATCCACTCATTGTGTCTACGCCGCCAAAGTTAAGTCCCAAGGACTTCCAGCGAGCCGCCAGAATTTCACAGTCACAGGGCCGCCAGAAAATCATATGCAGTGGCGTCACAGTTTGAGCAGCCTCGAAACCACCACGGCATAACACCTGAGACAGGACGGGAACCACAATGGAAACCCATAAGTCTCATGGTGGCACCATGAGACATAGTGCTTCGAGCGAGGTGTCGTCTCTCGCGACAGCATGCCAGACCTCACGACCCACTCCGATACATGTGCTTTGATACCCTCGAAGAAGGGAAAATACATGATACCGGAGAAAAACCCAATCAACATATTTGTAGGGCTGTAGGGATATTGGGCTATACGGTTATAGGACCGTAGGGCTATAGGACTATAGGGCTATAGGGCTATAGGAACATAGGGCGATAGGGCTACAAGGCAATAAGGCTATAGGGCTATAGGCCTATACGGGCTACAGGGTTATAGGGCGATTGGGTTTTAGGGCATAAGGACTATAGGGCTATAGAGCTATAGGGCTATTAGGGCTACAGGGCTATAGGGCCATAGGGCTATAGGGCTATAGGTCTATAGGTCTATGGGGATCTAAGGCTATAGAGCTATAGGGCTATAGGGCGATAGAGCACCCGGGCACCCCGGGCACCCCGGGGCACCTCTGGGCACCCCTGAGCACCTCCGGGCACCCCCGGGCACCTCCGGGCACCCGGGCACCCCCGGGCGCCCCCGGGCACCCGGGCACCCGGGCGTGCGGCGAAAATCGGCGGCAAACCTAATCTAAGCATATGAATCCGCTGGGACCCCTACAGAGGCAAGCTCTGATTGGGGAACAAACATGAGCTTCCGGATGTCCGCGCAGAGGTCTTGGATCGGCGCCAGGCCCCCCTTGGCGACGCCTGCGGCGCCGCCCCTTGGCGCGCTCCGCGCCGCTCCCAGGAAGTCCGCGGGGAGCTCCGAAAGGCTATGGTTGTGCAGCTTGCTGGTCTTCCACGGGGAGGGGGGGGCGGAGCGCGCGCGAAGCCACGGCAGGGGGAGGCGGGGGCGGAGCGCGCGCGAAGCCGTGGAAGGAGATCAATAACCGTCGGGCGGGCGGCTCGTGGGCTGAGTGGGCAGGCCAACCATCCTGACTGCCGCGAGGAGTGTCGAAGGTCGCGTCGGCTCAGTCTGTCGGCAACGCGCAGAGGGGGGTAGGGGGAGGGGGGAAGGCTTCTTAGAAGCACCCCTGCTTCTTAGAAGGCGCGGGCCTTCTCTACATACATATATATATATATATATATATATAGACATATACATATACATACATACATACATACATACATATACATACTTTATATCTATATATATAGATATTATGTATCCATATGTATGTATTGTTCGGAGCTCCGCACGGATGTCTCTGGTCGGCGCTGGGCCCCCGTGGCGGCGCCTCCGCCGCCCCGGGCGCACTCCGCGCGCCAGGGGGGGCGGCTCAGCGCCGATCCAAGCCCGGGCCTCATGAAAGGTTGTGTTTACGCCGTGTGCTCTTCTTGGTGACCGGCTCCACGCACGGCAAATCACAGCGCGAGCGAAACGCCGCTTTACGGTAGGATTTCAGGCCGCGTCGCAATTGCGGTCTCAGTGAGGTTGCGACTGGTGTTCGCGCAAGCGTTGCAATGGAATTTCAACGAGCTCACCGGTGATGTAGATGAGTCATCGTATAAAAGTATGTGATTAGCGCACTTCGCGTCTCGTTGTGCAATCGTCACGAGGGGGTGGTCGAGGAAATTTCACGGATCCCATTCGATTGTCGTGGTCGAGACTATTCGTACCAAGATGTCGATCGTCGGAGTACGAGCAGATTCACGTCGTTCATATATTGTGTTTCAAAGCGAATGTGTTCTACCCGTATGGTCCTGGAGCTGTCATAATTTGGCAAAGTTTCGGTATGCGTGACTCTGCGTACCGAAGTCTTCACGCGTCGCGTATCCCCACCAGCCCGTTGAGAAACATTGCCCATGAGAGCTGACGGGAAGAGGGACGAAGAGCTACAAATAGTGAAATAAAGAGGGCAACCAGGATGAGCAGAGAGATCTCTGGTAGCAAGGGGTTGGCCTTGGAGGGCGTCTTCGGGCCATCCTTGAGGCCCGCGGGGGGGCGAGGGGAGGGGAGGAGGAGGAGGAGGAGGAGGAAGAGGAGGAGGAGGAGAAGTAGGAGGAGGAGAAGGCAAACTGCCTCTTGCAGCCCTCGTGGTGCCCTCTTGAGGGGCCCTGTAATGCCTCTTGGGGCCATCTTGTGGGGCTTCGACCACGGGAGAGGGGGGCTTCTCGATTTCCCGCCCCCCCCCCCCCCCGAGGACCATCAAAATCTCATCTTGGGGCTTTCTGGGGCGCTCTTGGGCCGCGCTCTGGCGCTACTGATGGCCTCTTGGGGCCCTCTTGGAGCTCTCTTGGGCAACCTTGAGGCCTCGAAAGCGCATCGGAAGCAAAAGGGCCGGAATACAACAATAAGTGATTGTCCTCAGGGTCTTTGAAGGATGTGGTGCTCTTGGGGGGGTCCTCGGGGGGCTCCGAGAGCACTTGGATCCGTCTTGTGACCCTCGTCGGGCCTTTTGGCGGTATGCCGGAAGCTATATTGAACCAGATTCGGCTATCTTGAGCCGCTTTGGGGAGGCCACCTTGGAGCATCGGAGGCCGTCCTGGAGCCATGTTGGGCCATCTTTGGGCCCCCTGACCGATCGCGGCCCCCCAAACAAAAAACTCAACGAGGGGGAGGGCACCCTGCCCGAAGGGAACAGAGCTGTGGTTGGTGATTTTGCTTGCGGCGTGTTTTGCTGGATGGCTTGATCAGCCGCCGACAAAACAGATCATTTCATCCACAAGTTGCAGCCCCGTCATCCCAACCTGTATAGTTCAGCCCAGATATCAGACATTATCGAGGGTCTAGATGTCTTTCGACAGATCGACAGATCGAGACCCTGGGGAAAAGCAGCGACCTACAAAACCATCCCTGCACGAAACTCGTGAACCGACGATGCGACCTTCTGTAGGATGGCGGCTTAGCCTTGTGCTGGACCGTACAATCGGGGCGCTGAAGAAGGAACCCTTTTCATTGGGGAGGGGCTCCGCGTTCCTTAAGTGTTTCGCAGCTTGCCTTAGGTTTTCCTTGGGTTTTCGCTACGAAATCGAAATCTAATTTATGGAAAAAGGGGCCTCGTTCCTTATTTAGGGTTCCTTAGGTCAACGCCCTGACTGTATTCGTTGCCCAGGCTCGCCGTGGCCGGAAGAGACTGGCACTCCTGATCCAGCGCTCTGCTGTGGCAGCAGTGCGACTGCACTGCACTTTGGCGTCCTGTTCGCCATCCCTCTTTAAACGGGCGAAGAACGGTATAAAATAAACTTTTTCGCCGTCGGGGACACCTGCCCCAGGGCGGCTGGAAAGTTTATACCCTTACGATGGCACCATAGGGGTATAAATTTTCCAGCCGCCCAGGGGCAGGTGTCCCCGACGGCGAAAAAGTTCATTTTATACCGTTCTTCGCCCGTTAACTCTTATTTGCATACTTGCAAGGCACGCACTGCGTAGAAGTTTGTGGTCACGCCACCTGGGTCATCGGTTCTGTTCCATGCCCGCATCGGAGGGTCCGCCTCGTCAACACTGTCAATATGTTGAGATGAGGACCGCGTTGGGCTCAGGAGCAGCTGCGGCTCCCAGGCCGTTCCTCAGTTTTTGGTCGGGGAACTTGTTCGTGGCCGAGTCTCGCGTCCATGAAAGTCCCTTCGTTCTTGTTTTAGCGCTCCTTAGGGCAGCACAGAGATTGTACTGGGCTAGCATGAACGGCAACTCGCAGCGGCTACCCTCAGACGCAGAGTTGCGAGCCATGTGGCGAGTGAAATTTGGGCAGGGAGACCGACGGCGCGTGGAAGGGACAGCGAGTCTAAGTTGCGACTTTGCCTCATTGCCGGTCCCTGACCATCATGGTCCCTTCTCACCATCCTGATCCCTGCCCGTCCGGAGGAAGCACCCACACATCGCGGAGCTGTTGTATAGCCACACCTGCGACGCGACGGCATACTTTGCGCTGGAGGCGGTAGAGCCCATCGGCTTCGACCTTGACAGGCGCGGCCTGTCTGAACCGCCCAACCGCAAAGTTACCAACCAGTAGACACCCACCTCCTCTAGAGGCCTCAGAGGAGTAGAAGCCTCCAGAGTTTCCTTCGGGGTCTCCAGTGAACCCCAGAGGCCTCCGGGGGCTTAGGAAGAGGGCCAACTATCTCAGAGACCTCGATCCTCGAAGATACTCCTCCTCCTCCTCCTCCTCCTCCTCCTCCTCCTCCTCCTCCTCCTCCTCATCCGCATCATCATCATCAGCAGCAGCAGCAGCAGCATCATCATCATCATCATCATCATCATCATCATTATCATTATCATCATCATCATCATCATCATCATCATCATCATCATCATCATCATCATCATCATCATCATCATCATCATCATCCGTAGCCATTTTGGCTCAAGTTGAAACCCTCGCCCTCGGGGCTTCAGCTTGTTCGCAGCCGAGGGGGCTGGACCAAGCTTCTTCGGGCACAGGGCCCACGGCTTGTTTCCCTGGACCTCTCGGTCCCCTGTTCATTGTAGTCGCGAGCCGCGGCTCGGCAGCCATTCCCCCTCTGCAGTGCCCGCGATGGTGCCGGCTCCCAAGCCCGCGCCGCGGGAGGCAGGCCGCGAGCGCCGCCTGCGCAACGGCACGTACGGCCCTCGCAAGTTGTGGAAGTGCAGTTACTCAGATTGTGGCTGCGCCAAGAACTTGCTCAGCTTCTGGCACTGCAAGCATTGCAAGAGGGAAAGAGTGGACGTGCAGCCTGCTGAAGAGGCTCTTCCCCGCGGCGAGTGGCAGCGGGGGCCCTCCCGTGCGACCCCGCCGTCCGTGGTGGTGCCCGAGACGGCCAGCAAGGAGGACGTCCAGCAGCTGCTCCAGCTGGCGGAGAAGTTCGGCGACGCTGCAGCGGCGTCGCACTACCGTGGATGGATCGCCAAGAAGAACGCCAGCGACAAGCCTCCACCAGCCAAGCCCTTGGAGAAGCAGGCCGAGGAGGCCCATGGTCGTGTCAAGCTCCTCGAGACAAAGCTCAACAAAGAGTTGGCCGACATCGAACGAGCACGTACCTGGCATTCAGACTGTGTCGGCGCAGCAAAGAAGCTCAAGATCGAGTTGGACGAGGCAGACAAAGCTCACAAGAGACTGGTGGACCAGCTCCATCATGAGGTTGTGGCTCCCTCTCCTGCTCCTGCGCAGCGCGGTCTTTGCTTGCGAGACATCCTAGATGGCAAGGAAGGAGCAATATCTATCGACTACGGAGAAGGAGTTCTTGGCTTGGACGGCGACTACGAGTGGTCTGATACCGATCTGGAAGAGTTCAATAAACGAAAGTCCCTGCTTGAAGGACAATTGGCCGACATCACTAAGCAGTTGTTCGCCAAAGTCCAGCAGTCAGTGGACGAGATCAAGATATCACATAACGAACACATGGGTCGGCTTCAGAAGAAACGCAAGGTCGAGTCAGGCGCTGAGGCGGAAGCAGTTGGTGGTTCGGGCCGCGGCCAACTTGAGCAACCTGGAGATTCCGCCCTTACTTCGCCAGGGACGGGCACAGCAGCAGCGACTACCCCTCCGACTTCGGCGACTTCGGCACCTACAGCATCGGCTTCAGGCAGTAGTGGCGTGCGCCAGCGCGCAGACCGTTTGCTCAGCATGCCGCTGGCCCCTCCTGGCCAGGACAATGAACAGCCCCCCGCCGCCTAGCGGCAGGCAGCACTCACCTCTGGAGGAGGCGGCGACGGGGGGCAAGTCGCCCCATCAGTATCTACTTAAGCTTTCACCTTCCATGGACGGGCCTCCTGAAGGCCGGATTTTGAAATCAGCGACAGTTTAGTCGTTGCTCGCGTCGGCGCCGGGTCCAATTATGATTTCTCCCAGGTGCCCGACACCCCGTCCAAGGATCAGTTTTGTTTGAAATTCGAAACTTGCAACGCCACGTCTTGGGGGTCATGCAAGGAATGGCTCCTCGGGACCCAGGCCCATGCCGTGGCCATCCAGGAGCATCATCTGGTGACCAGCGAAGCGTGTAAGGAAGCGGAGGCCTGGTGCCTGCGCAATGGTTGGAAGGGGATTTTCTCCCTTGCGAATCCAGGCGAGGGCGAGGGCAGCTCAGGCGGGGCGGCCGTTCTTGGTCGCAATTTCCTCGGCTGGCACCCCTTGCCCAACCTCAACTCCGATGATGTCCCGTCCAGGGCGGTCGCGGGCATCATTCATCTTCCTGGGGGCGAAGCTCCACAGGTTCTTTTAGTCTCGGTGCACTTGCATTGCTCCGAGGGCCTCACCAGTCGCAACTTGTATATATTGGGCGCGGTCGGCAGCCTCAAGGACATCCATACGTCTGAAATGTTGGCGGGAGGTGATTTCAACATGGGCCCCGGCGAAATCCTGGACAGCGGATTCCCTGAACGTTTATCGGGGCAGATCATCTTCCCGTCGTGCGACGGCACCTGCTCCACGACGGGCGGGGTGAAGTTGATCGACCTTTCCGCGGCCTCGAAGGGCTTCGCCAAGGTTGTCAAGGATGTCTCTGTCCAAAGAGGTTCGAACATCACGCCACACTTGCCCGTTCAACTTGAGCTGCATGAGCGAGCTGCTACTCTGAAGGCCCTGGTGTTCGACAAACCCCCTCCTATTACCTCTGAGCAGCCCATCGGGCCCTCGAGGGCCCCTCCTTCCTGGAAACGTGTTCTTGGGTTCGGCAGAGAGATCCTGAGCGAGCTCGTTGCAGGAGCCTCGACCGCGGGGTCCCAGGATAAGTTGTCTCGCCTCTACCGTCTTTGTGGGAAGTTGGCCGAGTATGAGGCGGCTGAAGCTGCTCATGCCAAGTTACCAAGGCGCGGACGCCGTCCTAGGCTGAAATGGGCCTCGGTGGTTCGGGATCCCCCCCACGGTTGTAAGCACCCGGAGCTCTTTGGGGTAAAATGGCTTACGAGTACTTTCAGGGAGTGGAAAAGCACCAAGTTCGGATCCCCCGAGGCCCATCAGCCTGCTCGGTTGATTGGTGATCCCCCCGGCGACCTGGTTAAATTTCTGGGTCCGCACTCTGCGCTGCTTCTCAGGTGCCAACTGGGAGTTGGCGCTTCTTGTCCCCACCTTTTGCCGCACACAGCTACCGAAAATAGTGTCAGGAACGGCGCGACTCTCAGGGTCGGCGCCGAGCGTTGGCAGGACGCGTCCTGCGCCGTCGGCTACGGCGATCCCCGCTGCACGGAGGTCGACGGCTTCGACGACGCCATCGACGCCGATCTGCTCGCTGACTTGCGCCAGGCGCTGGAGGCGAGCAGAATCGCGCCAGGAGCCAGGCTACCAATTCTTGGAAGGAGTGGCTTTTAAAGAACATCGAAAAAGAGGGTCGAAACGCGCACTTGGCCAGAAAGCTTGCGGTTGGCTGGAAGGCGTCTACCACCCTTTCTTCGGCTGGGATTGTGATTTCGGACCCTATGGCCCTCCTCAAAAACCAGGCGTCGATTTTTTCGAAAATCTGAGAGGCCGAATCCAGGCCTGACGAGCGGGACACGCCGACAATGTTGGAGCACCTTCCGCCTCTCGAAGTCGATTTCTTGAGAGAGGTCTCTAGGAAATACTCGACTCGTACGGCGTGTGCCGTGGACGGATTCCATATGAGGCACTTCTCGTGGATGTCTGACCAACGCTTGCAGGTTTATTCCATCATGATCAGCATTATGGAGTCCATCTCGAGCCTGCCGCTGCAAGTCCAGCTCACCCAAGCGATGTTACTCATGAAACCTAACGGCGGCTGGAGGCCGATTGGGTTGTTCTGCTCCATTTACCAACTTTGGGGGCGATGCCGTCGTATTTACGCTCAACAGTGGGAGGTGTTATTTTCCCGGCCCTACTTTGCTGGCCAATCGTTCGCCTCCGCCACGGACGTCGTATGGAGGCAGATGTTGAAATCAGAAGCCGCCAAGTCCAAGGGGCTGTGTTCGGGGGCTCTGCTTTGGGACATGACTAAGTTCTACGAAGGCATCTCTCTTGAACGGTTGGAAATACACTGTCAACGTTATCAGTTCCCCCCGGTGTTGCACAGGCTCTCGATTGCTGCGCACCGTGGTGCTCGGTTCATGTGCATGGGCAACTATGCGTCGGGGCCATTCTACGCTGCGAGAGGGGTTATCGCTGGATGTAGTTTCGCAACTTCATACGTCATAGTCTATTGTATCGAGAGTTTCAACAAAATCGAGTTCCCCCCCTGCACGCAGCTCGACCAGTATATCGACGATAGCGGCGTCTCCAGCACGGGCACAGTCACGCAGGTGGTCAGCAATTTGAAAATAGCCTCGACTGGCCTGCACAAGGCCATTGTGGAGGAGATGGGCTGCGACATCTCGTGCGACAAGGCCGCCTTCGTGACTTCCAGCAGGGAGGTCAAGAAGCAGATGATCGAGTTTCTAGGACCGCTTGCTGGCAGCCCCTCGGATAGCGCCGCCAACCTCGGCATCGACGACACCGCCGGCAGGCCCAGGAGGGCCGCTAAAAGGAGCCCAAAATTCAAATTCAGAGTGGCCCACCTTAAAGCCACCACCAAAAAGCTGGCCCGTATGTCTCGCAGCCTTGGGAAGTACAGTAAAAGAATGTGGGTTTCTGGCGCTCTCCCAGGGGTCCTGCATGGAGCGGAGGTTCATGGAATCTCTGATTTTGAGCTCGGTAAAATTCGGAGGGAAGCTGGAAAAGTCATGCGGCCTGGGGCTGGAGGCCGCTCGCTCACCTCCACCCTCCTCCTTAATGACGATCCTACCTGGATTGCCGCTGTGCCCCCCATCATTAGATACAGTAAAGAGGTGTGCGCGGCCCAGACCCATGCCTACGCCTATTATTTGTCGCTCCCTGTTCTTAGGCAAGCCTGGAAACTGGCCTTTAACAGTAAGCTGCCCGCTTGGCGACAGGTGAGCGGACCGTTGTCAGCGATGAGATTATCGATAGCTCGGATAGGCTGGAAGATGTCGAACTTCGCGACGTTGATCTCGGACTTCGATGAAGAAATCCAGCTGGCGACGGTCTCGCCCGCGCGGGTCAAGAGTTTCCTCAGGGCCGTTGTGCTTCGACAGCTCGAACGCGAGCCCTGTGCTAAGCATTGCCTGCCGTGCGATCGCTTGTGCTATGACATTGTTCGCAATCAACTTCGATCGAAACGGTATTCTTCTTTCGAGAAAGGAAGAATTCGGAGTCTCACGTGCGACGCTCCCTGGACCAATAGCCGAGCGATGCAAGCAGGCTACCAGCTGGCCGATGATCGCTGTGCGATGTGTGGTCAGCTCGGTGGCACGCCGTTCCATAGGCTCTGGCGCTGCCCATGTTTCGATTCGGTGCGATCGGAGTTGATCGGCCAAGATGTTCTTGAAGCCGCTGCCGCGGCAGATCCGTCCGACCCCCTCACCGAGCTCCTCTTCTGCAAAGGTATGTCCCCCCATCCTGGCGACGTTTTCCCGAGGCCTGCGGGCGAGGGCTCTGGGGCCCAGGCGGCCCAGGTCTGGCACGACACCCCCCTGGCGATGGCGGTTCCAGCGGACATATGTTCGTGGATGGCTGCTGCTTTCGGCACCAAGTCTCTGAGCTCTCGAGGGCGGGGCACGGTCTCGTTTTAGTTGACGACATTGGCACCGAACTGTGCACGATATACGCCCCTGTATATGATCCCTTCACCCAAACTCCCCAATGTGGAGAGTTCGCGGCGCTCGCCAGAGCGGGGATTGAAGTCACGGGCCCGCCGTGGATTTATAGCGATTGCAAAAATGTCGTGGACCTAGCCCAAGCCCCGAGAGAGTTGCAGTTTTCTTACAAGCGGCCCTACGCTGGCCCCATGATGTTATATAACCTCGGAGTTCCCTATATCAGTTCAGCTTCAAATGTGAAGGCTCACTTGGACCCTCATGAGGAGGGCATTGAGCCACACGAGAGATGGTGCCGTTTGGGCAACCACGCGGCTGATTTGGCGGCGAAAGCTGGAGCGAACCTTCACCCTGCGGCCACGGAAGATGAGCAGTCGGCGTTTGCGTGCTGCATTAGGGTCGCCAAAGCGGCGTGCGAATTGGCGGCCAAGATCTTTCCTCAGTGGCCCCGCTTGGACCTCTCAAAGTGCCCTTGGGTGGCCCCCGTCAGTCCCAGCACGGCCTTGTCGGAGGCCGCCGTATCGAAAGCCCTGCTCGAGAGCTCACATTGTTTCGTGCTCCAGCCGTCACATAAATATGTTTGCAGCCTGTGGCATAGCATTGTAAACAAACAAGATATATTAGAGGCTTGCGCCCCCGCTTGCTCGGTCGACCAGCCTCAGGATCCAGGGGCCATGGACTCGGCCCTTGATGATTGTCGGTCGGTGGGTGGGGGGGTGAGGCTGGGCGGTAAACACTTTCACGAGTCTCATGTCCTCCGCTTCTGGCCACGGCACTCGCTTTACTTTTGTGCGACGCGCGGCCGCACGGCTACGGTCGATCCGAGAAATTTAATTGATCGATGCGGACCTGCCACTCGTAAAGGAGTCCAGAATCTCGCCAGGATCGGGAGGAAGATCTTCCCAAGTTATAGAGGGCCCTCGGACGCGGCGAAAGACGCACAGGCGTCGCGAGTCCGAAGGAAATTCGCCAGTGCACACACCTCGCCTGTCGGCGCCACGGCCGCCGCTAAACCAGCGGCCGCAGTCCCTTTCAGGAGGCGCTTGCCCGCGGGAGCTAACGCCTTGTGCCCCGTGGAGGGCATTCATCCCGAGGTCCTGTTGACAAAATCATCATCATCATCATCATCATCATCATCAGCATCATCATCATCCTCATCCTCATCCTCATCCTTCTCCTCCTCCTCCTCTTCAATATCCCCCTCCTCCTCCTCCTCCTCCTCCTCCTCCTCCGCCTCGACCTCCTCCTCCTCCTCCTCCTCCTGCTCCCGCTCCTGCACCTGCTCATCCTCCTCCTTCTCTTCCTCCTCCTTCTCCTCCTCCTCCGCCGCCGCCGCCGCCTCCGCCTCCGCCGCCGCCTCCGCCTCCGCCTCCGCCACTCCTCTGCCGCCGCCTCCTCCTCCTCCTCCTCCACCTCTTCGGGTTCGCCAGGGAAAAACTGATGTGGGAAAAAAGATCAGCAACGAATGGGGAGCTCAGGGTCAGGCGAAGCGCCTGGCCCGCTCTAGCGACGCATCTGGTGATGCGACAGGGAATGGTTACCTACCCAGAAAGACAAGGGGTGGAGGAGGAGGAGGACGGGGAAGGGGGGGAGGGGGCGCTGGGATCGAGGTGTTGCGTCCTCGTCGCCACGGCTGGATCCTCATCGAGGTTCTCTTCGTAACGTGACCTTGGACAGACAGGTCTGGGGGCCGAGTCCTGAGGGAGACGGAGGAGAAGGAGGATGAGGAGGAAGATGAGCACGACGACGGCGACGACGAGGGGGAGGCAGGAGCAGGTCGCCGCGCACTCCACTGTCAACCGGGTCGGCACGAGCGGGCGCGGTGCGGCGCCACTCCTTCCTCCTCCTCCTCCTCCTCCTCCTCCTCCTCCTCCTCCTCCTCCTCCTCGTCCTCGTCCTCATCCTCATCCTCATCCTCCTCCTCCCCATCCTCAACTAGGCCCCGACGGAGTGCTTGTTGGCGCTTTCTTTCCTCATCCTCCTCCTCCTCCTCCTCATCATCATCATCCTCCTCCTCCTCCTCCCCATCCTCAACGAGGCCGGAGTGCTTGTTGGCGCCGTCTTCCCCCATCCTGGTCCTCCTCCTCCTCCTCCTCCTCCTCCTCCTCCTCCTTCTCCTCCTCCACGATTACCTCTCCGTCCGCGCGCGCGCAGGGGAAGGCACGGGCTTGGACCAGGCAGAGGCGCTCAGCATGAGCCCGAGGTGTGGAGGGAGGGAGGGAGGGAGGGAGGGAAGGAGAGAGGGAGGGAGAGAGGGAGGGGGGGAGGGAGGGAGGGAGGGGGGGAGGGAGGGAGAGAGAGGGAGGGAGGGAGAGGGAGGGAGGGAGGAGGGGGAGGGAGGGAGAGATGGAGGGGGGGAAGGAGGGGGAGTGTGAGCCCGAGCCGGGGGGAGGGAGGAAAGGCAGGGTCAGGGGGCAACCAGAAGGGGGGGCGGATAGGCATAGGGGGGGGCGCATCGACCCCCAATCGCCCATAGATCGCCGGTAGGGGGCCCGATAGCCCCACCCCGCTCAGGACCGTGCGGGTCTGCGATCGAGGGCCTGTCGCCGATGATAGGTTGATACTTCCCCCCCTATGCCAGTCCCCCCCCCTAGCGTTGCCCTTCAGAGGGCGGGCGGGCGTGAGGGAGACTCCTCTCTCCCGAGTGCGCAAACATCTCCAGGCTCGCGAAGCAGTACGTGTTCGCCAAGCAGGCTGGCCCTGCAGCGTTGCCCGCCCTGGCCACCCTAAGATCCTGGCGTCGAGTTTGTTGGTGAACGTGTTCATATTCGGCGTTTCGACCTTGGGCGGGAGAGGCGGGGGGGGGTCTGGCTCCGGACCTCTGCTGAATGACTGTTTGCAGCTGTGCGCCTTGTGGGGGAGACTCCTCCTGCTCGAAACAGGCGCCAAAAACAGCCGAGATCTACTCCATAGGGGGGGGGGGAGGAGGGGTGCGAGGGCCCGCAAGGAATACAGTGAGCGGCTTGAATAAGGAACGCTTACTTTTCAAAAGGGGCTCGGTCGTTCCTTAGGCTTCCATGCGTTATCTACAGTTCCTTAATGCGTTATTTGTTATGTGTCGTTCCTTATGCGGTATTCCTTGGGATAAAAAAAGGGGCTTCGTTCCTAATCTATCGTTCCTTAGGTCAGGCCGATGACTGTAAGAAAACGATCACCTGCACGACGGGTGGTCCTGCCCTCTTTCGGGCCCCGGGACCCTCACGGATCGACCCGGCCCGGAGACTGCCGCTGGGAAAAAAGCGGGGTCCAAGGCTCCAGTCCGTTTACTCGCTGCGGTGCTTCTTCGTGGCGTGGGAGCTCACTGCACGGGGGTCGGCACGACCGATAAAGGGGAGGCAGCGGCCGCCGTCGGTTGGGGGCGGCACCTGTTCTTAGGCATCGTGCCCCTGATTTCCGTTCCTACGATGCACGGGATCTCAATGCACGGGACGCGGGATCTCAATGCGCGGGGGTCGGCACGGCCGACAGGGGAGCAGCGGCCGCTGTCGGTTTGGGGCGACCCCTGCTGTTGGGCATCGTGCCCCCGATGTCCGTTCCTGTGCTGTGGGGCGTGCAAAGGGGCAGGATCGGCAAACCTCGAAGCGGGAAAGCGGAGCGACTTGGAAGGCGCGTCGGATCGGGCCGCATATCGGCGAAAAGGCGAGGTCGAGTCGGATCGGCAGCACCGTTGGATGCACACTGGCGCCATGCAAGCATCGGGCCACAGCGGATCGCTCCGAAATCGGAATCGGATCGGATCGCATTGGCCGGGCTCGATATCGAGTCGGATCGGCCAGATGGGCACATGCGCAGAAGAGGCGTCGCTATAGAAGGTCATGGGGCATACGCGTCGTCGATATTTTTGAGGGCCCCAAGATGCCCGTGAGCTTCTGTGAGTCCCTGGGGCCGTTTGACAATAGGAGACGTCCAGGGGACACTTTCTGGCAAGCCAATGCCTTATGGGATGCGCCTATTGTAGCGTCCACGCTTCTCACCGAACACAGAGTAAGGGAGGCCGGACCTGAGCGCTCACATTCTGGAAGCAGGCGGCCCTCAAACGGGTGGCCTCCCGATAAAAGGCGGCACTGCACGTCCCGATCGCAAAGTGGGTCTGGGGCTTTTTCTGGCAATTATGCATTGCCTGGGGCACTCTGGCCAACGTGGCAAGAGCCATCGCGAAATGAACTGTACAACTCATTGCGGGATGACGACCTCTACACGTCGAAAATGAGGGCGAGTTTGGGTTTAGACCGCAGTGGCCATTCGGGATGCCGCCGCTCGTGTGTAGACTGGAAGAGCTGAGGAGACGGGAAAGGACGGGCTACCAAGGCGAAAGAATGGGCAGGCTGTGTCGCATCAGCGTGGCAGTTCTCTCGGTGCCAAGCGGCATTGTGGAAGGAGGAGAAGGAGCAGCAGCAGTTGAAGGGAAGCCAAGGAGGAGGAGGAGGAGGAGCAGGAGGAGGAGGAAGAGGCTGGATCTCGTGGGTCCAGCTTTCGCTGGCCTGTGAGTGTTCCAATGTTGGCATTATTGTGGCAATACTGGGGACAGGAGCAAGTAGGAATGATCGGGTTCAGAGAGGAACAGGTATAGAAACCAGAGATGAGTAGGACCGGCTCCAGGCTTTTCTGGATGGTTCGCAGACGTATCGTTCTTCCCAACCCTCTTGTGGTGAGTTTGATCGCCGCTTTGCATCAGCAGCGCCGCGCCCCCATCTCTTCCTCCTCCTCCTCCTCCCTCATCATCCCCCTCCTCCTCGTCCTCCTGATCCTCCTCCTCCTCATCCTCATCCTCCTCTTTCTCTTCCTCCTCCTCCTCCTCCTCCACCTCCTCCACCTCCTCCTCCTCCACCTCCCCCTCATCATCATCCTCTTCCTCCTTCTCCTCATCCTCTTTCTCCTCCTCCTCCTCGTCCTCGTCCTCGTCCTCCTCATCCTCCATAGCCGTTGTGGTTCAAGATGCCAGGTTTCCCAGCGAACCAAAGGGATATCTCTGTTCCGAGGCCAGACCCCAAGGTTACTTCTGTTCGACCCCCATCAGTGAGCTTCCCAGCGGCTGAGGCGTGTTTTCTTTCAGAGCACCCGCGGCCGCGGGTACACAGGCGTTTTTTTGTTTCAGCTCCTGCGGTCGCAGGTGCTGGCAGCTCTGTGCAAGACCGATGTCGGCGAATGGCGCTGCCCCGTCCACACTCGGCAAGAAGGTCATCCAGGCGCCTGGCGAGCGTGCTCGGCGTGGAGCTGGTGCTGTTTCTGCCGCTGGCCGTGATGCTCCTCCTGCTGCTGAACAGTCTGCAGCCATCCAGCACCGCATGGGCGACGGTGGTGGCGACTTCGACGAGCTGCACCTCCGCTCCATCTGCTCAGAGGCGGTCCCCGAGCGCTTGGAGAAGCTCCAGCAGGCTGCGGACGACGCCGTCGGCTCCTCGGTTAAGTCCGCCGTGGTGTCCGAGTCGGCGAACCTCGCCTCCGCGTTCCAGGCCAATTTTGACAATTGCCTCAGCCAGTGCAAGAAGGACCTCGCGGCGCCCCCTGGCAAGCTGGACCAGCAAATCTTACTCACTGTCTCACCCAAGCTCGGCGACCTGCGCAAAGAAGTCATCAGCCGCTGCGACGAGCTCAAACAGGACATCATCCTTCTCGTGGACCAGAAGGTGGAGAGCAATCCCGCTCTTTTTTTGAAAGGCCAGAACAGATTGCCAAGTTGCAGTCGGCCTGGGCGGAGGCCAACCCCGCTCGTCCTGCTCCGAAGAACTCGGCCAGAACCTTTCCATTCGACCGCAGCACGGACCCGACCATCATGGCAGGCCGCCATTGATACCATCTCACCGTGGCCCGAGAAGAACCAGATCGCGTCCAGCATGCGGTCTCTCACATTGGCCGACCCCTCTCGAAGTTGCACGCGATGCGTCTCAGCGCTGCCGCTGTGCTCTCGCCTCGCCGGCCGCAGAAGCTGTTGTCCGGCATGCGGCTGGCCAACAATACGCGGTGCGAGCTCGAAGTGGATGTTCATTCCAAGGGAATGGCGAAACTTCACGTCTCGGGCGACGAGGACCCGAAGCCGACCAAGACGGTGATCAAGGGCAGGAATCTCCGCGCCAAGCTCCAGGAGCTCTACGGCCGCGAGCAGCACATCTTCCTGAACAGGGGTCGTGGCTGGCCGTCGCCGGGATGGGCGCTCTGCGCAAGATTGAGGTTTTCCGCGGACGCGAGGCCACCAGAACCATATAGAACCCACGCACCAGTGCGCAGTTCGGCGCCCCGAAGGCCCAGCTCTGCAAGGCCGTGCAGGACCTTATCCAGCCAGACCGTCGGCCTGAATGGTGCCTTTAGCAGGTCTGCTGGCTTGTTTGGTCTCTCTCGGCTTCAGTCTGCGCGCGGCTCCCCCACCGCTGGAGGCTTGCGCTTCTCATCCTGGAACACTAGAGCTCACTCAGAGTACGAGGGCGCGCGTGCGGATGCCAAATTGCCGCACCCCCAGGGGCGCAGACTGGGCCCCACAGCCACCGCCCTCCAAGAGGCTCGCCAGAGCGAGGCGCGGCTTGCCCCGCTGGCGAGGCGCGTTCTCCCAGGTGCTTCGATGTTTTCCAGTTTCTACGGCGAGGACCGAGCTGGACGCATCCGTGGCGGGGGAGCCACCCTCGTCCCAGGTTTCTTTATTTCTGGCCAGCGTTTCTAACCCCTCTGGGGCGTCTTGCCCCCAAACCCTTCGCATCCATGGCCGAGGTTTTTTCCGGTTGTCTTTGAGAACCAAGACGCTCAGTTGATACATAATAACATGCATAATCATGATTTGTCTTCGAATAAAGTAGAGGATGCGTAGAACCATGGCGAGCAAGATCGGACCCTGGGCGAATCACACCCCGAATATGTCCTGCTCGTCGCGCACGGCGAAACTGGGCTTCGCGCGGCGACCGGGGGCTCAGAGAATTCCCAGACCGCGCCATGCCTGGGTCCTCGCTGGCCCGCTACCCTTGATAAGCCCGTTGAAGCGTCTGCCACTGCCGCCGCGCCTCGCACGGCGACGCGCGGGCCGACGCCGCGGCTGCCATCGACCGCGCGTGTCGTTCCTGGCCCAGCTGGGTCTTGGCGCAGGCCTTCGAGGGATCGAGTTGAGGTGTCCCCAAATGTTCTACATCGCACTAAAGCCAGCGACTTTGCCGCTCCCGCAATCGCACGTCGCGTCAGAAGCCCACGGAGCGCGTCATGCCCAGGCATACATGCAGTTCGCATGTATGTAAGATGATTACATCTAAGTTCGTTGACTGAGGAGACCCACCCGATGGTGACGCGCCCCCCCCACCAGAAGACCTGCCAGGCACACATATCACGCGGGGTGCGAGTCGCGAGGCGAGAGACATGCCGATGTTCAAGTGCCCGTCGGACCCATGCACTCTTCATCTTGTCGCACGTGCGCTGGCCCGAGCAGTCTGGCGCCAGGACGTGCGCGTTGTCGTTTGATTGCTAGGCCTCCATGCTGCTGCTGCCGATATCGTCCGCGTCGACGGCTAGCAAGCTACCCTTTTGCACCCAGCCTCGTTCTAGCGGCGGGTGGAAGAAGTGCAACTTCGCGCAGCCAACCTCGATCGCACCGCAGCTCGCGCTCGACTAGAGGAGGCTGCAGGAGACGGGGGAGGCTGGCGGAACGACCACGTCTTCAGGCGATTGAGAGGAGGGCGACGACGCGGGCCCCGTTGGCTCGTCGAATTCCGAGGCGCGGCGCAATCGTGGAGGGTCAGAGGACGGAGGAAGTGCACGACAGATTCAACGCGTTGGCATCTCATTGGGGCTCATTTTTTCACGTTCCCCATGGGCCGGGAAAACTGCCAAGACATAGTTGGATCGCTTCGTGACCCCCGCCCCCGTCGCTGGCGATGATGATATGAGTTGCGCTTCTCGCCAGTGACTCTTATCATGGAGTTGATCGCCTGCGTTATGCGGCCTGGCTGGCCCATCCGAGCGGCCTGATGACGTTGCATGATGTGCCCCCGCGGATGCTGTCGGGCAAGGGACTAGAAGAGCATCACACCCCAGTCCTTCCTGTCAAAAGGCGCGGCCAGCACGGACACGAGGGCAGGCGAGTACCATCGAGAGGCGTCGGCGGGCTGAGTGTTGAGGATGCGCACCACGAGCACGAAATCGCTGACAGCGACGGCGAATGCGGCGACACAGCGTCCTCTTGCCGAACTCGTTCCCGCGGGCCAGCGAGGCTGCACGAAAGGCCGACGTTCCTGCACTGGCATTCTAGAAGTGGGTGCCCTCTCTCGTGTCCACTCGCCTCCGCCAGACGCGGATCACCAGTGCCCAGCGTTGTACGCCCTGGATTGCGGGCATGCTGCCCTGAATCTCTTGCAGGAGTGCGCGTCTGCTGCTCGTGAATACTGGGCGTTCCATCCCGCTGCTGATGTGCGTCTCGATGCTTGTCGGGTGTCTCCAGGGAGTGATGTGGGTCCAGGGCTTCCTGGTGCACGCTTTCTGGATCCGCTCTGGGCTTATCCAGGGGCCTGCTTTGTCGGGATTGCACGCTGCTGCCGCTCTCCCACCAGCGCCATTGGACATCCACTGGTGCTTCGAGCCCCCGCGGAATGGGATCAATCGCGCTTGTGCCGACCACATTGGCGGGGCATTGGGAGACTCCCGGTTGTTGCTGCAGTTGCGACGTGTGATGATGGTGGTTGAGGTCGTTGCTCACTTGTTCTTGAAACCGGCCAAGTATCATCACCCCTGTCTCATGCCCCTTTTCACCCCCGAGCTCAGAGCACGAGTCCTGAATTTCCTGAACATCATGCTTATCCCCGAGCGGCCCGCGTTCCGCATCGAAACCACGTTGTTCTATCGTGGCATGTGGATCGGCACAGCGATGAAGCAAGGCCGTTCGTGACGATTCTCCCGTCTCAAGTGTGATCGCGCTGCTGCTGTGGGATCTGGGAACACGCCTGCCTCCTCGTCGTCGGTTCTGTTTGTACGCGATGCATGTCCGTCTTGAGCTATCCGATGCAGCTTTGGCCGCTCCCGACCAGGCTTTTCGTTTGCCTCTCGGAGCTTTTGGGTCTTGGGACTAGGCGCAACCGGCGAACTGGCACGGTCCAAAAGTTTGTTCTCTGGAAGTGATGAGTATCGCGTCGCTCGCTCGAACGGCCATCTCGGCTCGACCTGGTGATTATCGCATATCCCGCTGGCTCGTGAAGATTACAGACACGCTCCAGTCCCAGGACTTAGACGAGTGTCACCTGACGGTGCTCCCATTTGGCTGCCATTACCCGCTTCACTGGAGGTGCAAAGCGGTTGCCGAGTATTTGCATGACGCTGCTGTCGGCGCCTCGTGCCCTGCAGCGCTTGCCGACAAAATCCTGCGAAACCTCAGCTTAACGCCAGGTTTGCCTGTCTCGCCTGCTGGCCGCAGTCCGCCCTGCGCGACCTCTACACGACGCGTTCGTTGAAGCGGTGGCGCAGTACTTTGAGGTCAGGGTCACATCTTGCTGTGCTCGCAGCTGCGTTGAGTCAGGTCCCTCGCCAGTGTCATGTTGAAGGTCTGCCACCGTTCCTCCAGGGGCGCGAAAGCCCGAATAACGAAGAGGCGGTGTTATTGTTGGTGGTGACTGTGTTGTTGCTGTTGTTGTTGGTGTTGGTGGTGGTGTTGTTGTCAGCTCCTGTGCAGGTATTTTTCTCACCTGCACGCTCTCGTCCTCGGACCCCGCCCGGAGCTCCTCACGCGCATGTCCTGGAACGGTGGCACACGACGCCTCCCAGCTATACCGATGGCGGCGGTGCTGGCATCGAAGGAACGTCCCCGTTCCCAGACAGGCGATGCTTGATTTGTTTGGGATACCGGGGGCCCTGGAAGTCCCGACCCTTTCCCCAGGGCTTGCTTTTCATCCCGGGTCGTGCTTTGACGAAGGAGGAGGAGGAGGAGGTCCAGGACCCAGCGAGGGCTTCCGGAGGCCGAACCCGGCCCAACAATTTCCCGTGGTGACTTCTGTGCACCGACGCGAGCGTGTCTGACTGGGTTTTTCTGTAGGCCCGAGAAGCCATGCCCAGGGTTAAGTCGGGCGTGTCCCTCTACAGGAGGAATATTCAAAAATAGTCAAACATGGTCTGGGGACGATGTTTGATTTTTCTTATTTTTTGATTTGTTTTGGAGTATGTTTTGACTTTCGTCCAAAATGCCCCTGTAGGGGGACACGCCCGACTTCAGCCCAGGGCTCTGATGGCAAGCGCACGGCAGTATAAACGGCCGGCAGAGCGTGCCCGTGCTCCTGGCCCAGCGGCTGATCAACCAGCTGGCCGACGCGCTGAAGTGGATGCACAGCCGGAAGGTGCCGAGGGGGCTGGGTGGCGCGTGCCGCAGCGCCGGGTTGGCGCGGGCCCAGACGTGCCCGCGACGTGAACGAAGATCACGACGGGAGGTCTTTGGGCCGCTTGCGGCCTCCAGGGGCCCTCGCCGGGCCAGGGGACCATCGTCAGGTGACCAGGGGTCAAAAGTCAGGGGCAACGACAGGGGGGGGGGGGGGCATCATGGGGGAGGCATCGATCCCCAATCGCCCATGGATCGCCGAGAGGGGCCCGATAGCCCCAACCTGCCCAGGAAGGTGCGGATTCACTATCGGAGGCCTATCGCCGATCTATCGACGATGTATCGCCGATTCCAGGTCGATGCATCCCCCCCTATGCCCGTCCCCCCCTATCGTTGCCCTTCAAAAACCAGCCCTGGGGAAAGGGCCGGGAGTTCTGGGGGGCCACGCGTTGAGAAGAGTCAAAGCATCGGAAGCCTGATGTCCGCTCCCCGGACGACCCTGCGCGGGGCGCGTGCTGACCAGGAGTCCAGGGCGGATCCGGCCGTGCCTGCGGGGACGAGGCCCTCGGGAGGCCCAGCGAAGCGAGAACGAGGAAGGGGGCAACCCTTGGCATTAAGTCGGGCCTGTCCCTCTACAGGAGGAGTATTCAAAAATAGTCAATAAAATAGTCTAGGGACGATTTTTTATACGTTTTCACCACTTGGAGGTATTTTTGATGTATTTCCCAACCATCCTGTGGTGTTGGGTCCTCGTTTTGAAGAGACGTCGCCCCGCGTTCCTTCCTCCTCCTTCCTCCTCCTCCCCTTCCTCCCCCCTCCTCCCCCTCCCACACCCATTCTGGCACACCCCTCACACGCTTCGTGGCCCCATAGGGAGCTCCACCGAAGGCCCCAGTGGCTGCGCCCGCATGCGGTTCCACCCCTCATTCTGGCACACCCTTCACACGTTTCGTGGCCCCATAGGGAGCTCCACCGAAGGCCCCAGTGGCTGCGCCCGCATGCGGTTCCACCCCCCATTCTGGCACACCCCTCACACGTTTCGTGGCCCCATAGGGAGCTCCACCGAAGGCCCCAGTGGCTGCGCCCGCATGCGGTTCCACCCCCCATTCTGGCACACCCCTCACACGTTTCGTGGCCCCATAGGGAGCTCCACCGAAGGCCCCAGTGGCTGCGCCCGCATGCGGTTCCACCCCCCATTCTGGCACACCCCTCACACGTTTCGTGGCCCCATAGGGAGCTCCACCGAAGGCCCCAGTGGCTGCGCCCGCATGCGGTTCCACCCCCCATTCTGGCACACCCCTCACACGTTTCGTGGCCCCATAGGGAGCTCCACCGAAGGCCCCAGTGGCTGCGCCCGCATGCGGTTCCACCCCTCATTCTGGCACACCCCTCACACGTTTCGTGGCCCCATAGGGAGCTCCACCGAAGGCCCCAGTGGCTGCGCCCGCATGCGGTTCCACCCCCCATTCTGGCACACCCCTCACACGTTTCGTGGCCCCATAGGGAGCTCCACCGAAGGCCCCAGTGGCTGCGCCCGCATGCGGTTCCACCCCCCATTCTGGCACACCCCTCACACGTTTCGTGGCCCCTCCATAGTGGAGCTCCACCCACCGAAGGCCCCAGTGGCTGCGCCCGCATGCGGTTCCACCCCCCATTCTGGCACACCCCTCACACGTTTCGTGGCCCCATAGGGAGCTCCACCGAAGGCCCCAGTGGCTGCGCCCGCATGCGGTTCCACCCCCCATTCTGGCACACCCCTCACACGTTTCGTGGCCCCATAGGGAGCTCCACCGAAGGCCCCAGTGGCTGCGCCCGCATGCGGTTCCACCCCCCCATTCTGGCACACCCCTCACACGTTTCGTGGCCCCATAGGGAGCTCCACCGAAGGCCCCAGTGGCTGCGCCCGCATGCGGTTCCACCCCCCATTCTGGCACACCCCCTCACACGTTTCGTGGCCCCATAGGGAGCTCCACCGAAGGCCCCAGTGGCTGCGCCCGCATGCGGTTCCACCCCCCATTCTGGCACACCCCTCACACGTTTCGTGGCCCCATAGGGAGCTCCACCGAAGGCCCCAGTGGCTGCGCCCGCATGCGGTTCCACCCCCCATTCTGGCACACCCCTCACACGTTTCGTGGCCCCATAGGGAGCTCCACCGAAGGCCCCAGTGGCTGCGCTCGCATGCGGTTCCACCCCCCATTTCGGCACACCCCTCACACGCTTCGTGGGTGGCTCCATGGGGAGCTCCACCGAAGGCCCCAGTGGCTGCGCTCGCATGTGGTTCCCCCCCCCATTTCGGCACACCCCTCACACGTTTCGTGGCCCCATAGGGAGCTCCACCGAAGGCCACAGTGGCTGCGCTCGCATGCGGTTCCACCCCCTTTTTCGGCACGCCCTTCACACGTCTCGTGGCCCCATATGGAGCTCCACCGAACGCCGCAGTGGCTGCGCTCGCATGCGGTTCCACCCCCCATGTCGGCACACCCCTCACACGTTTCGTGGCTCCATAGGAAGTTCCACCGAAGGCCCCAGTGGCTGCGCCGGCATGCGGTTCCGCACCCCATTCTGGCACACCCCTCGCACGTTTCGTGGCCCCATAGGGGGCTCCACCAAAGGTCCCAGTGCCTGCGCTTCACCCACCCAGAACAGCGCTTCGTAGCCCTATAGGGAGCTCCACCAAAGGTCCCAGCGGCACCGCCCGCATGCGTCCGCCACCACCCTGCACAGCCCTTGCTCCCTGCCTGCGTTTCACCCACCCAGTACAGCGTTCGTGGCCCCATAGGGAGCTCCACCGAAGGTCCCAGTGGCACCGCTCGCATGCGTCCGCCACCACGCAGCACAGCCCTTGCTGACCGCGTCTCACCCACCCAGTACAGCGTTTCGTGGCCCCATAGGGAGCTCCACCGAAGGTCCCAGTGGCACCGCCCGCATGCGTCCGCCACCACCCAGCACAATTGCGGCATTCACAACTGCATATGGTTGGGTCCTTCGCCAGGCTAATTCTATTGTTCGTCCAAAATCCCCCTGTAGGGGGACAGGTCCAACCTAACCTTGGCATCGGTGAGTCCAAGGCCCCCGACGTCGTGATGTCTGCGGAGCAAGAGTGCTGTTGCGCGGGCAGCAGGCGGCGGGGTCCAGGAGTGGGAGGGGCTGGACAAGGGAGCGTCGAGCAGGAGCGGGAGGAGGTGATAACCCTCTCGAAGTCGAAAAGCAACGAACACAAACATAAATTGTTCCTACCGCTGTTGAACATCAAAATTCTAATCAGCGTCGAAGAAGCCTACGGCGAATCACCGCCGCCCCCTGCCTTTTCGGAAGCGCCTGTGTGGCCGAACGTTGCGGCCAGAGCTTGGCTATGCTATCGGACTACGTGTTCCCCCAGCCGTTGAGGAAACCCTTCGGGAACAACGTGGGGAATGAAGAAGAAGAGGAGGAGAGGGGGGAAAAAGGAGGAGGAGGAGGAGGCATCTTGGGAGCCTCTTGGACACTCTTGGGGCCTCCTGGGGTCTTCCTGGGGGCCTCTGGGAAGCCTCGTGGGGGGATTATGTGGCCGTTTGAGGGCGGTCCTGGCCCATGGGACGCCGTCTTTGGAGCCTCTCTGGGCCGACTTGGGGCCCTTTTGGGGCCCTTCAGGGCCGTCTTGGAGGCCATCTTGGGCATCTTGGAGGTCTCCTGGGCCGTCTTGGGGCCCTCGTGGGGCAGTCTTGGGGGCCTCGTGGGGGCTTCTGGGGCCGTCTTGGACAGTCGGAAAGCCGACAATGAGCAAGCGCCAAAAAATTGTCAAACAACTTGAAGGAATCAACGGTTTTAGCCTCTTCGGGCCTTCCTGGAGGTCATCGTGGAGGCCTCTCCTGCCGTCTTGGCGGCCCCTTTGGCGATCTTGCGAGCATCCTGGGGGGCATCTCGGCCCGTCTTGAAGACATCGTTGGATCATCATGAACTCTTCCTGGGGCCATCGCAGCCGTCTTGGAGACCATCTTGGCCGTCTTGCAGGCCATCTTGGGTCCGTCTGGAGCCGGAAGACCGACCACCTGGGCAGTTTACGGGTCTTCGTGGAGGTTATTCGTTGTGGACGTTGGCATCTTTCCGCGTCTTTCCGTGTGGCCGGCGGGTTGGGACGAACGTTTTTGGGGAACCTAACGTCCAGCACGCCGTGCACCTTTATGGCAAGCCACAGGGTGCGGCGGATGACGGAAAACGCGATTCGCGTGCGAACCGTTGGTCGGAAATTAGCCTGGCGAAGGACCCAACCATATGCAGTTGTGAATGCCGCAATTGTGTTGGGTGGTGGCGGACGCATGCGGGCGGTGCCACTGGGACCTTCGGTGGAGCTCCCTATGGGGCCACGAAACGCTGTACTGGGTGGGTGAGACGCGGTCAGCAAGGGCTGTGCTGCGTGGTGGCGGACGCATGCGAGCGGTGCCACTGGGACCTTCGGTGGAGCTCCCTATGGGGCCACGAAACGCTGTACTGGGTGGGTGAAACGCAGGCAGGGAGCAAGGGCTGTGCAGGGTGGTGGCGGACGCATGCGGGCGGTGCCGCTGGGACCTTTGGTGGAGCTCCCTATAGGGCTACGAAGCGCTGTTCTGGGTGGGTGAAGCGCAGGGAACAAGGGCTGTGCTGGGTGGTGGCGGACGCAAGCGGGCAGTGCCACTGGGACCTTTGGTGGAGCCCCCTATGGGGCCACGAAACGTGCGAGGGGTGTGCCAGAATGGGGGGTGGAACCGCATGCGGGCGCAGCCACTGGGGCCTTCGGTGGAGCTCCCTATGGGGCCACGAAACGTGTGAGGGGTGTGCCAGAATGGGGGGTGGAACCGCATGCGGGCGCAGCCACTGGGGCCTTCGGTGGAGCTCCCTATGGGGCCACGAAACGTGTGAGGGGTGTGCCAGAATGGGGGGTGGAACCGCATGCGGGCGCAGCCACTGGGGCCTTCGGTGGAGCTCCCTATGGGGCCACGAACCGTGTGAGGGGTGTGCCGAAATGGGGGGTGGAACCACATGCGAGCGCAGCCACTGGGGCGTTCG